ATTTATATTCTTTTGAATAATTTTGTTTTTTTACTTTAACATCTTCTATCAGATTTGATAATTCCATCTCTTTTTCTTTTTCTATTGTTTTCAATAACAAATCAAAACTTTCTTTTATTGTTTGTTCTTCTTTATTTTTTCTCTTAAGTTTCATAAATCTACTTTGATCAATTTGTCTTAATATTATATCATGTTCTTCGTCATCATATGAATCACAACAATATGGACACATTTTAGAATTTTCATTTTTTTTTAACCATGATTCAATACATTTAACATGATATATATGAAGACAAGGTAATTGATATAATTGTATGATAGATTCTATAATCTCACAACAAATAGAACATTCATTCGAAAATGACATTTTTTTTTAAAAAAAAATATCAAAAATTACAGGATATGATATATTTATTTCCGTGAAATTAATCATTTATGATTAAAAATATGATAAAAATTAATAATAATATGATAAATTCGAATTTAATAATTTTATTTAAAAATTATAAATAAATTATAAATAAAATTTATAATCGAAAATTGATTAAAATGATATAAATAATTAGAATTTTTTTTAGTAATTTCAATATACAAAAAATTCCAATAATAATAAATTTTAAAATAATGACAGTAGAAAATATCACAGAAGAAACTTTTGCGGAACAAACTTTTACAGAAGAAACTTTACAAAAAAAAAGAGGAGCAAAAAGAAAAGGATATGATAATGATGGAGATGAGAAAGCTCGTAAAAATCGTGAAATACAAAAAAGATATCAATTGAGAAAAAAAGAATTATTTAATTCTTTAAGTGTGAAAATCAAAGAATTAGAAGAAACATTAAAGAAATCCAAAGAAGAAAATAATTCATTAATAACAGAAATCGAATCATTAAAAGAAAGAGATGAATTTTTGATTCAGGAAAATAAATTATTTACAGAAGATAATGATTCATTAACAACTGAGAACGATTATTTATTAAAAGAAAATGAATCATTAAGAAAAGATAATGAAATATTGAGTGAAATTTCTCCGAATAATACTTGTAATTTAAAAAAATAAAAATAATCTTAATTACGTAGAAGTAGAAGACGGTATCCTTGAAATTGATGCAATGAGAATTAGTGGAACATACAAACTTTTTTTTAAATAATCATTTTTTTTTACTGTAATTTTAATTTATCATATTATAATTTATTTTAATCAACAAATAAATATCGCATTTTTTATCATCATTTAAAAAATAATTTATTGATTTATCTTATATACTCATTTTCTATTTTGATACGAACTCTATTTTAAACTTATATTATATAAGTAACACAATTCTGACTAATTTAAATCTTGTACAATGGTCTAACTAAAAATATCAAGATTTTTTATCAAATAAAAATATCTATCATAATCTAGACTTAATTTTTTTTTATAAGATACTATGTTTGATAATAACCAATTACATTAATCATGAAAAAGATAAAAATTACGTTATCAGTTTATTAATCAGTTTTTATTTTAAATTATAAATAATTATATTTTAACTATGATTTTATTAATAATTTTTATTAAATTCACTTTATAATAATTTACAATTTTTTTATATATAAACCACATTCATTTTCATTATTTTTTTGTTCATAACTGATATTCCAAAAATGTCTAAATTTAATTACGAAATTAAAGAATCTGACATTTTATACAATTCTCATATTTCTTTTTATGATTATATTGATGTTCTCTACTTAAAAATTAAAGAAAGAGAAGATTATATTACCAAACTCCAAACATTTTTCTTTGAAAAACTTAATGCTAAATACATAAAACTCTATTCTGAATTCATGCAAGAATTCTTACATCTCGAAAAATTTCAAATTATTGACAAAAATATTTTTACATATTCTGATTGGATTGATGATCTTAATTTTAAAATTAAAGAAGGAGAATATTTTATTACAAAAT